GGCGCTCGTTTTGACCAATTGTACATGTTTTTTCCATAGGCATAGCGAGGTCGCCCATAGGAAGTTGTTCAGGTTGATCGATAGCAGCGTCGTCCTCGGCGTAGTCTATAGTGTATTGTTCATCCGTCAACAACGAAAAAATCCATTGTGAAGGAAGTTCAAATCGTACACGCAACTGACATCCTCGGATCAAATTTGACCGCAAAGTCAACAAACCAACAATTGTGATGTTTAAATTAAACTGTGGTTTGAGGTATACGTGCTCATACCGTATGAGAAGTCACGGGACCCCCACCACATAACTGAGAAAGCTCGAATCATCCGACGATATCATTAAAGGATTAATTTCTATATTCTTGAACGAATCTATAAAATCAAAGTGGCTGGGTTTCAATTTACATAGCTCTTTGTATGGTCTTGTTTGCTGATCAACATTATATGATTTCTAGACATGTTCAATCTGTGCAGCTTCTTCACTTTCATATTAATGTCAATAAGAGCATTTCATCCATTTTTGAATAAATGTGGTTCATCACAAATTGTAGAAATACTCTGAGCATTGACTATAAAATGGAATGGACTTGATCCGTGAGTATTCTCCGAGCAAATCGTCTCAAGTGCGTTTTTGATCGTTGCGCCCTGATTAGAAATAGTGCCAACAACGCACAAACCAAGTCGCTGCTAGTTTGTGATCACATGAACAATAATCGTTTTCAGATCTGGGATTCTTGTATCTTTTACTAGATAATAAGCCACAACCTGCTTATAATTTTTACGAATCCCTCTTATCATGGAAGTAAGGGCATGATTTCTGATAAATCACTTTTTCAGAGTTCTAGTTGATTTTGTTACCTCAGAATTCAAGATTTATTAGCTGAAAATTGTACACTGTGAGCACTGGGATCAGCCCTAAACTTTGTCCAAACCCTGCAATAATCGTAAACACTAAACAAGGGTAGACATATTTCTAGTTTAACTGCCTGAAGATTTTCTCTATGGTTTATACGTAACTCTCCACCTATTATCTCATTTTTGTACATGTTCTGGGAGAACTCAACTTGCTCCCTATAAAATGCAACGTCTTCCTGCACAGGTGGTTCTGGTTAAGTGCCAGCCTGCTTCGGGTTTGTAATTAGTTGTTGCAATTTTCTGATTTCGTCGTCCTTTTTCATAATCCAGATTTCGTTTTGGCATTCCAGTTCAGCCATTTGATCCTGAAGCTCTTTTATAGTAGAATCATTATGGCATCGTATATCTGAGATTTTAAATGAGTGGTTGACCTCACGTTGGTTACTCTCGTCCATCAGACTCTTTACGTCATTTCTCAGTTTAGATTCAAGTTCTTTTAGGAAGCCAATTTCATCTTGCAGTTCAGCAATGTGTGACATCGTTACATCAGTTTGTGCAGCAGCACTTAAAGAATGTTGCATATCTTCGTACTCAGCGTCAAGCATAGCTTCTAAGTCTGCAACCTTCTTTTTTGACTCAATATTTTGAGCTTCAAGAGATGGTTTAGGGCTCTCTGATCTTCCTAGGTTCTTCAGTTGAGTACGCAGCATCTCTATTTCTGACTCGTATGTTTTTAGTCTTTTTATTATTTTTTTCCAGAAAATCGAGTCTGTATTGCAAGTCGATGAAATTCTTGCGCTTTTTGAGAATTTTTTTGAACTCTTTCTATTTCTTCGTTGTACGCATCCGTTACTTGGCGGAGTTCCTGACTGTAACGATCGAATTTAGAATTGGCTTCTGTGAGCTGTTTCTTCAGGTCCAAAATCTCCAGCTGATTATCTAGTTTAGTGAATTCTCTAAGCTCATTGAAAGATTCTTCCAGTTCTTTGAGTTGTCTTTTAAGTACACTTGCACGTCTTCAGCTATCACAGATTCTGCTTCGGCTAGTGCCTCCTCATATGTCTCTTCTTGAATAGGCCTCATTTCACGTCCGGATGATTCTTCTTTGGGTGGATAATTTTTCAATGGCATATACCCTAGGGATGCTTTTTTAGGTGATACGTTGCCATAGTGTCCAAAAGTATGACGTCTTAATGTTTTTTTCGGTGTTGATGCCGAGGCTCCCATTTGAAAGCGCCCGACAATAGATACTTCCGTTTTTAGTCTTTCTATCTCGAGCAGATACTCTTGTTTGCTTTTATCCATCTCTTTTAGCTTAATTGCCTGCTTTTTGAGCCGAGTTTCGAGATCGCGAGTCAAGTTCTGATATCCTTGAAGTGTCTCTTCTGTAGCTGACAAGATGTTTACTTTCGTTTATTTTTGACAGTTTTAGTGCTTTGGGCGAATTCTGGTGTAGATCTAGTCTCCTCCTCTGCAGCTAAAGTAACATTCCCGATAATCAATGATTTGGCATTACCGCCAAGAGCCTGTGAGAGCAGTCTAGTCAATTTCGAATCGCGATAACTGATAAACTCCTTCCCCTCGCTTAGTTGCCTTATCACATTTCCTAATACTGACAAAGATTTGTTTATGTTAGCCCCCTCTTTAAGACGCTCACCAGCAGCTTTCGTCAGAGAAACTCTCTCAGAACCAGCTAAGTCCATTAAGTTAAGGTAGCTTATATGTACAGGTCCATCTTTCTGATTGGCATCTTTCGACTCCAGAATAATCCGGAAAATCGTGTGTGATCGAGATGACCTCTCATTCATGCGAGTAGCTGCAACTCGTCTGATCTTATTGCCCTGCATCATGTTCTCCATAACTTTATCAACATTGTCTACGACAGCTTCCCTTGCATCAAGCAGCACATTTCCTTTGATATCTTCTCTTATAGTTAAACCCTGATTGCTCTTATCCAGGAGGTCATTGATCTTTTCATTGTAGATTTCAATATAACTGCATCTAATCAAGTACCTCTTATCAACCTGGTCTGCCACATGCTGGAATAACTGATTGGATACTAATTGGAAAAGCCCAGGATCTGTTTTATTGCCCAAAATGGTGTGTGTTTTGCCAGAAGATGTTTGGCCATATGCAAATATTGTGGCATTGAAACCTTCCATGAAGGAATCGACTAAAGGTTTTACTACAGATCCATATACATCTGAATTTGTACATTCCTGCTTAAATACATGGTCGAATATATAAACCTCTCCATGGCGACTACTTTCATCGGCTTCCCATATGCAGTTTACTCTTACGTTCCAAAGACGCTCTAGACCATCGGCTACTTCGCGGTGGATCATTGGTCTGATCTTTGTGGCTACTTTAATATTGTCGGAAGTCATTTTGGAAGCTTGAACTGAAATTTAATTAGAACTAGGGCTATTTCACGGGTTATAAAGAGGGGCACTTTTCATAATCCAGATTTCGTTTTGGCATTCCAGTTCAGCCATTTGATCCTGAAGCTCTTTTATAGTAGAATCATTATGGCATCGTATATCTGAGATTTTAAATGAGTGGTTGACCTCACGTTGGTTACTCTCGTCCATCAGACTCTTTACGTCATTTCTCAGTTTAGATTCAAGTTCTTTTAGGAAGCCAATTTCATCTTGCAGTTCAGCAATGTGTGACATCGTTACATCAGTTTGTGTAGCAGCACTTAAAGAATCTTGCATATCTTCGTACTCAGCGTCAAGCATAGCTTCTAAGTCTGCAACCTTCTTTTTTGACTCAATATTTTGAGCTTCAAGAGATGGTTTAGGGCTCTCTGATCTTCCTAGGTTCTTCAGTTGAGTACGCAGCATCTCTATTTCTGACTCGTATGTTTTTAGTCTTTTTATTATTTTTTTCCAGAAAATCGAGTCTGTATTGCAAGTCGATGAAATTCTTGCGCTTTTTGAGAATTTTTTTGAACTCTTTCTATTTCTTCGTTGTACGCATCCGTTACTTGGCGGAGTTCCTGACTGTAACGATCGATTTTAGAATTGGCTTCTGTGAGCTGTTTCTTCAGGTCCAAAATCTCCAGCTGATTATCTAGTTTAGTGAATTCTCTAAGCTCATTGAAAGATTCTTCCAGTTCTTTGCGTTGTCTTTTAAGTACACTTGCACGTCTTCAGCTATCACAGATTCTGCTTCGGCTAGTGCCTCCTCATATGTCTCTTCTTGAATAGGCCTCATTTCACGTCCGGATGATTCTTCTTTGGGTGGATAATTTTTCAATGGCATATACCCTAGGGATGCTTTTTTAGGTGATACGTTGCCATAGTGTCCAAAAGTATGACGTCTTAATGTTTTTTTCGGTGTTGATGCCGAGGCTCCCATTTGAAAGCGCCCGACAATAGATACTTCCGTTTTTAGTCTTTCTATCTCGAGCAGATACTCTTGTTTGCTTTTATCCATCTCTTTTAGCTTAATTGCCTGCTTTTTGAGCCGAGTTTCGAGATCGCGAGTCAAGTTCTGATATCCTTGAAGTGTCTCTTCTGTAGCTGACAAGATGTTTACTTTCGTTTTATTTTTGACAGTTTTAGTGCTTTGGGCGAATTCTGGTGTAGATCTAGTCTCCTCCTCTGCAGCTAAAGTAACATTCCCGATAATCAATGATTTGGCATTACCGCCAAGAGCCTGTGAGAGCAGTCTAGTCAATTTCGAATCGCGATAACTGATAAACTCCTTCCCCTCGCTTAGTTGCCTTATCACATTTCCTAATACTGACAAAGATTTGTTTATGTTAGCCCCCTCTTTAAGACGCTCACCAGCAGCTTTCGTCAGAGAAACTCTCTCAGAACCAGCTAAGTCCATTAAGTTAAGGTAGCTTATATGTACAGGTCCATCTTTCTGATTGGCATCTTTCGACTCCAGAATAATCCGGAAAATCGTGTGTGATCGAGATGACCTCTCATTCATGCGAGTAGCTGCAACTCGTCTGATCTTATTGCCCTGCATCATGTTCTCCATAACTTTATCAACATTGTCTACGACAGCTTCCCTTGCATCAAGCAGCACATTTCCTTTGATATCTTCTCATAGTTAAACCCTGATTGCTCTTATCCAGGAGGTCATTGATCTTTTCATTGTAGATTTCAATATAACTGCATCTAATCAAGTACCTCTTATCAACCTGGTCTGCCACATGCTGGAATAACTGATTGGATACTAATTGGAAAAGCCCAGGATCTGTTTTATTGCCCAAAATGGTGTGTGTTTTGCCAGAAGATGTTTGGCCATATGCAAATATTGTGGCATTGAAACCTTCCATGAAGGAATCGACTAAAGGTTTTACTACAGATCCATATACATCTGAATTTGTACATTCCTGATTAAATACATGGTCGAATATATAAACCTCTCCATGGCGACTACTTTCATCGGCTTCCCATATGCAGTTTACTCTTACGTTCCAAAGACGCTCTAGACCATCGGCTACTTCGCGGTGGATCATTGGTCTGATCTTTGTGGCTACTTTAATATTGTTGGAAGTCATTTTGGAAGCTTGAACTGAAATTTAATTAGAACTAGGGCTATTTCACGGGTTATAAAGAGGGGCAGATGTATCAGGTTGATACATTCTTTTTTTCCTCCTTTCCAGTATAGAAGATTTTTTTCTCTTGTAGGCTATGAATGCGGTCCGATAGTTTAGTAGAGCTACATTTACAGGGTGACTCAAAATCAAAGAAGAAACAGAATTGTTAAATTTCATATAGACTGTTATTGTTATTACAAAAAGAAGTTGAAGCAGCAGCAAATTCTCACAAATCTATAGATCCATCACTTTCAGCACCCGATTTTTCAACTTGAAAAATGCAGCTCGGTGAAGAATCACAAGGTAACTGTTGTCTATTCAGACAATACTCTTCTAAAAGCAACGCGAAGTTACCTAGTGCCTTACATGAATCGCCTTCATAATTCTTCATTATTGTCAATGGAAAACTGAAATTGTTGATTATTACAGTTTTTAATGCTTCAAATAAACAGATGGTGTTCGTGTTGGAAATCCCACGTCTAATCTCGCAAAACAGGTTATCCACCGGATCTTACTATCAACATCTGAAATGCCATTACTGTTTTTAGCCATGTGTACAACAGGTTTGTACGCATAAGACACTCTTACATGAAAACTGTTTATTGTCTAAAAACGAAAATACCCCATTGAAGATGAGTAATGCAATAAATATAATCCTCGAAACTTGAACTGTAATATGAACATAAAAAAACTAACAAAATGGGCCATTTAACAACATATTTGGTGTTGATATTCTACAACAAAAACAAATACTTTCTCGTATAAGGAAACATACAATAATTAACATTTATCACTTTTCACGAAACAATGTAAGTGCGCTGTGACTTTACATACTTATTACAGATTGTAGAACATTTTTTTCATTGTGTATTGTCATGTAACACCTACGTCGTTTTTTTTCTTTAACAACTGCATCAGGATCGAGAACTCTGGGCTGAGAAGTAGACGGCTTACTTTATTCGTCGTTGGTAATTTAGGATTCTTTGCATGGCTGAACGAAGCTCCCTAGGAAGTCTTGGATCTGATAAACGTCCTCTCATACGAAGTTAAATTAGAGTTTGCCTCAGGGGAACAATAAAATTTCGTCGCCTAATGGAACTTTCAGTCCCAGACTGAAAAAAAAAGGAATTTACAGAAGCTGGTTGGATACCAAATAGCACAAGGCCATCTTCTCGTTCTCTAACCAGTATTGTAATTTACACACTTCCGATCTAATGCATTACCCCCCGCCTTCATAGTGTTATAAAAATAATATAGGATCTTATCAGGTTTCTTTGATTCCTCTACTATTTTGTTATCATGCTGCATAGATTGCTATACGAGAACATGTGTATTTGGTTTTGGAAGATACTACTCTAAGGCTGTACAACATAAACTTAGAAGTACCTGGCTGTGTTTCCTTCTTATTTGGAACTACATGTTGGGGTACTTGTTACTTATTTTTACGCTTCCTGCCGACATAGGTCAGTTGGTTGATGCGCAATTCTACATGTAATTCTACTGACGTGAACCAGTCATCTGCTGTGATATTTCTGTTCGTATAGACGAAAGCATTGAGCAGGTAGTGGTGAGTCTTTGCATCATCAGTCCATACTTATTCGGTTTAGTTTTCTTGTAGGCACAGGAAGGACATCGGCCCACGAGCATCTCGTATTTTGTAGGGGACTCACCCGAAATATAACAATTTCGACAGTTCTCTATGAGTGTCTCGAAAATTTCACGTATTTGGAGAAATTTATCGGCATTTCTCGAGTCACAGGGTTATTATTTTCCAAATTGGTTGCCACGGACTTTAGTTCAGGTAAATGCGTAATAATCGACCAGTTGCAGGCGCTCGTTTTGACCAATTGTACATGTTTTTTCCATAGGCATAGCGAGGTCGCCCATAGGAAGTTGTTCAGGTTGATCGATAGCAGCGTCGTCCTCGGCGTAGTCTATAGTGTATTGTTCATCCGTCAACAACGAAAAAATCCATTGTGAAGGAAGTTCAAATCGTACACGCAACTGACATCCTCGGATCAAATTTGACCGCAAAGTCAACAAACCAACAATTGTGATGTTTAAATTAAACTGTGGTTTGAGGTATACGTGCTCATACCGTATGAGAAGTCACGGGACCCCCACCACATAACTGAGAAAGCTCGAATCATCCGACGATATCATTAAAGGATTAATTTCTATATTCTTGAACGAATCTATAAAATCAAAGTGGCTGGGTTTCAATTTACATAGCTCTTTGTATGGTCTTGTTTGCTGATCAACATTATATGATTTCTAGACATGTTCAATCTGTGCAGCTTCTTCACTTTCATATTAATGTCAATAAGAGCATTTCCATTTTTTGAATAAATGTGGTTCATCACAAATTGTAGAAATACTCTGAGCATTGACTATAAAATGGAATGGACTTGATCCGTGAGTATTCTCCGAGCAAATCGTCTCAAGTGCGTTTTTGATCGTTGCGCCCTGATTAGAAATAGTGCCAACAACGCACAAACCAAGTCGCTGCTAGTTTGTGATCACATGAACAATAATCGTTTTCAGATCTGGGATTCTTGTATCTTTTACTAGATAATAAGCCACAACCTGCTTATAATTTTTACGAATCCCTCTTATCATGGAAGTAAGGGCATGATTTCTGATAAATCACTTTTTCAGAGTTCTAGTTGATTTTGTTACCTCAGAATTCAAGATTTATTAGCTGAAAATTGTACACTGTGAGCACTGGGATCAGCCCTAAACTTTGTCCAAACCCTGCAATAATCGTAAACACTAAACAAGGGTAGACATATTTCTAGTTTAACTGCCTGAAGATTTTCTCTATGGTTTATACGTAACTCTCCACCTATTATCTCATTTTTGTACATGTTCTGGGAGAACTCAACTTGCTCCCTATAAAATGCAACGTCTTCCTGCACAGGTGGTTCTGGTTAAGTGCCAGCCTGCTTCGGGTTTGTAATTAGTTGTTGCAATTTTCTGATTTCGTCGTCCTTTTTCATAATCCAGATTTCGTTTTGGCATTCCAGTTCAGCCATTTGATCCTGAAGCTCTTTTATAGTAGAATCATTATGGCATCGTATATCTGAGATTTTAAATGAGTGGTTGACCTCACGTTGGTTACTCTCGTCCATCAGACTCTTTACGTCATTTCTCAGTTTAGATTCAAGTTCTTTTAGGAAGCCAATTTCATCTTGCAGTTCAGCAATGTGTGACATCGTTACATCAGTTTGTGCAGCAGCACTTAAAGAATGTTGCATATCTTCGTACTCAGCGTCAAGCATAGCTTCTAAGTCTGCAACCTTCTTTTTTGACTCAATATTTTGAGCTTCAAGAGATGGTTTAGGGCTCTCTGATCTTCCTAGGTTCTTCAGTTGAGTACGCAGCATCTCTATTTCTGACTCGTATGTTTTTAGTCTTTTTATTATTTTTTTCCAGAAAATCGAGTCTGTATTGCAAGTCGATGAAATTCTTGCGCTTTTTGAGAATTTTTTTGAACTCTTTCTATTTCTTCGTTGTACGCATCCGTTACTTGGCGGAGTTCCTGACTGTAACGATCGAATTTAGAATTGGCTTCTGTGAGCTGTTTCTTCAGGTCCAAAATCTCCAGCTGATTATCTAGTTTAGTGAATTCTCTAAGCTCATTGAAAGATTCTTCCAGTTCTTTGAGTTGTCTTTTAAGTACACTTGCACGTCTTCAGCTATCACAGATTCTGCTTCGGCTAGTGCCTCCTCATATGTCTCTTCTTGAATAGGCCTCATTTCACGTCCGGATGATTCTTCTTTGGGTGGATAATTTTTCAATGGCATATACCCTAGGGATGCTTTTTTAGGTGATACGTTGCCATAGTGTCCAAAAGTATGACGTCTTAATGTTTTTTTCGGTGTTGATGCCGAGGCTCCCATTTGAAAGCGCCCGACAATAGATACTTCCGTTTTTAGTCTTTCTATCTCGAGCAGATACTCTTGTTTGCTTTTATCCATCTCTTTTAGCTTAATTGCCTGCTTTTTGAGCCGAGTTTCGAGATCGCGAGTCAAGTTCTGATATCCTTGAAGTGTCTCTTCTGTAGCTGACAAGATGTTTACTTTCGTTTTATTTTTGACAGTTTTAGTGCTTTGGGCGAATTCTGGTGTAGATCTAGTCTCCTCCTCTGCAGCTAAAGTAACATTCCCGATAATCAATGATTTGGCATTACCGCCAAGAGCCTGTGAGAGCAGTCTAGTCAATTTCGAATCGCGATAACTGATAAACTCCTTCCCCTCGCTTAGTTGCCTTATCACATTTCCTAATACTGACAAAGATTTGTTTATGTTAGCCCCCTCTTTAAGACGCTCACCAGCAGCTTTCGTCAGAGAAACTCTCTCAGAACCAGCTAAGTCCATTAAGTTAAGGTAGCTTATATGTACAGGTCCATCTTTCTGATTGGCATCTTTCGAC